GGCGCCGAGCCAGTGCTTGCCCTTCTTAAAATACCAAAGTGTCAAAAGCCTCAGTCTTCCATGGTTCCTAATATTGATAATTAATTTGGTTGCCCCTGGCTTTGTTGTATTTCTAATCAAGGATAAATTTAAAAATAAGGATGTTTTACTTCCACAGTACTTACAGGGTACAAGAGGGTGGGGTTTTTTTGTTGTTCTTGTTTTGTTTTTGAGATAGGATCATTCATGCTGGAGACTGCTGTGGTGTGATCATAGTTCACTACAGCCTCTGAACTCGTGGGGTCAAGTGACCTCCTGCCTCAGTCTCCCAAGTAGCTGAGACTTGCAGGCATGAACCACATCTGGCTAATCTGTTTATTTTTTAGAGATAGGCTTTCACTATTTTGCCCAGGCTGGTCTCGAGCCACAGTGGGCCACCAGTTCTGGTGGTTTACTGCACTCTTTTTAACCAAGTCCCCTTATTCTCTTCCTTTCCAGTGGCACGGCTGCTCTCTGATATTTGGCGTTGTAGATCATTTAAAACAACACTTGCTGACTGACCACACTAATCCAAACTTTCAAACTCTGAAATGTCGCTGGAAGAACTGTGATGCTTTTTTCACTGCTAGGAAAGGATCCAAACAGGTATTTATCGGTGGGACTTGAGGTTAATCTGGGATTCAGTAGACTGCTCAGAGCAGAGGCCAACAAACCTTTTTTTTTTTTTTTTTTAAATAACATGTTCAGGCTTAATGAGGCTTTGATTGGTGACTTAGGTAGTTTTTTAGAAAGAGCCTAACTAGAATGTTTTTAGGTGTATCAAGTCCAGTAACTGAACGTAGAAGCTTATTATGGTACTGTTGTGCTAAGAAAACTCATCTTTAAATGGTAGTTTCAGGTCAATGGCTCCTGCCTTTCATGTATTAGATCCTAGATGCAGTGTACATATGGCTTTCCTTAACTTTGACTTTCTCTTGTTCTACTACCACCTTTTCTCATGAGTCCTTTTCTTTTGTTCCCAGGATGCTGCAGGACACATTGAGCGGCATGCTGAAGATGACAGCAAAATTGATTTATGAAGTTTTTTGCCTCCCATGTTGGGAAGTTGTTAGTTTAACTGTTTTTACATTGGCCCTTCATGTAGGCCATTCTCTTCCCTTCCTTCATGAAACAGGGAAGGAAAAAGTGGTTATTAGCCAGACTTACCACTAGCATAAGTCTGGGCAGCTCTATGGGATGGTGGGTTATGTTTAAGTTCTTGCTGGAGGTTTTAAACAGTCAAATTGAATAGATTTTTAGGAACTGTACTCCACTGAGACAACATGACATAGTGATTTATGCTACTAGTGTTCTCCAGATGTTTATTAAAGATACAGAACTTAATCGGTTCCTCAGTTTGACCCTAATCATACATATATTTTGTTGATTTCAGTTTGTGACTTTTGGTTTATGTTCCTATGATGATTAAACCTATAATCTGGCTTTTCAACACAAGTTTGTTCAAAGGCTAAATTTTCACAATCAGCTTAAATTTTTGCAGTTGTAATAACTGGACATTTAAATTGGAAGCAAATAGTTTTCCTCTCTTAATAATTACATGCAGTGTGTTTCACTTTTCTCTAGCTTTATAGTTGGACAGAGCTGGCGTTAAATGCTAAAGCACACACAGTAGATGTCCCACAGACAGCCTGTACTTTAGGCATTCAGAAAGCAAACCCCATAATGCCAAGTCCTTACAGTTGCCGCTTCCTAGTGAACTTCCCCTGCACGTTTTGATAGCGTGCTCAGTGTGAGGCAGTGTATTGATTTAATGTCTACCTTTAAATGTGGCTGTCAGACTTGAGCATTCACTGATGTAGATGTCTTCAGGCTGTTTGAACTGGAGATGTACCATTTTTTCCTTTCCAGTTTCTGACTTTCTGAGCCTGATGGAGGTTTTGAACCCCTTTATTTGCTGTGTTGCCAACTTCCATCTCTCCCTCTGTCTGGCTTTGCCTAGACTGATGGCAACTGTCAAGTATTCCTCAAGGCTCACAGGTGCTTGCCACCCACCTGCAGCCCCCCCAATGTGGGGGTGCTTAGAATTAATCATCCAAATACAGTTTTTAGGGCCTCCAGCAGGCTTCCTAGGGACATATCTGAAGCCAGTGTCTTTGCCTTCACTTCCTTGCGAGCTGGGAGAAAGGAGTGGAGTGCGGTGAAGGGAAAGACTGCCTGTCTGTTGAGAATAGCCAAATTAACAAAGCCTAAGTGGGGTTGCTTTGTTTTTGGATTTTCTCTGGACTCTTATCAGTAAAGCTATGAAATTGTTGCTTTCCAGCCTTTTGTTTCTGGATCCTCAAAACTCAGATACTTCAGAAGAGAAGGGGGAGGAGCCCAGTGCCACCTACCAAGCTTTGGGATGTGATGCCCACTGTTTTCTAGATTTGCAGAGCATCCGGGCTTGTCTCCACCCCTGTCAGCACATAGACATCTACTCAGGTGTCCTCCCTCAGGTTCTAGGGTAGGGGGGCTTCACTGAGAGTTCATGAATAGGCTTTAAAAGGGTCTGTGAACCCCCTGAAATTGTATACCAGACTAAATACCATGTTTCCTTGAAAATAAGACCTACCCAAAAAATAAGCCCTAGCAGGATTTGTATGCATTTGTTAAATATAAGCCCTACCCCGATAATAAGACCTAATAATGGGCATGGCTATACAGCATATCTGCATAGCCATGCCATGCATTTCTGCGCGGAGACATTCCCTGAAAATAAGCCCTAGTGTGTCTTCTTGAGAAAAAAGAAATATAAGTGTCTTATTTTCGGGGAAACACGGTATGTGTTCTTTTTTCCAGGGAAGGCTCCAGTGGCTCTTATTAGATCCAAAAATGTTAAGAGCTAATCAGGAGCTACTACTAGATAATGTGTTTTGTTAATTACACTGTTGAGATTTGCATGATGCTTAAGAGAAAACAGAAGATTCTTACTGCATAAAGTATAGTTATGCTGTTTTATATGATGTTAGGAAGCTTTCCCCATCTCTCACCTTCATTTCCTGTAAGGGTGACCAGAGAAGCCAAGCTGTTTTGTGGGTTTAGGAATGGTGATGTTTCAGGAATGTACATTTGGATTTATTGCCCAAAGTGGCATTTTCCTCTGGGCTAGAGAAGCCACATTTACACATGGCTGGGCAGCAGGCTGAGAAAACCTCAAATGCTCTGTCGTATGGGTGCCCTCCTGCCCTGCCTGAGGGTATGTCTGAAAAGATGAGAGTGATGGAGCCTTGGTACAGCAGGGAAAGGATTTGTGAGGTGTTGGGCAGTCGGAAACTTTTGAGAGCATTAAAGACTGATAGGATCAGTAGAACTATGATTGGGTTTAGCCATGGTAGAATCATGTGCCTATATCTGCCTGTGTGTGTGCGTGTATGAAAGTTCCTTTGTATGTGTGTATATGTGTTGGCACCTGTACCTGGAACATTTTTCTTCCATTCATTTCACAAGTTTTTTTTTTTTTTTTGAAACAGTGGCAATACATCTTTGTTTCAAGAACATGCAAAATTCTTCTAACATCAGGTTAATGTGTTATTCAAAATGAACCATCTGTTAAGAAATGAAGGGACCATAAGCATCTTGGCTGCTTGTGGTTGTGCGTTATTACTTTTAAGTAACTTAAAAGTTATGCAGAACTTTGGCTATTTGTTCAGCCTTCCACATCGTGTCTGATTATAAACCTCTACTTCCCCTCAGAGAAGAGCTGTGGCTCAGAGATCTGTATTGCCTCTGGTATTTAGTAACCTAATGAAGAAAGGAAATGGTTCAATGACCTGGCAAAACCTGACTCATTTCTTAAAAGTTGTTGGAGGCCATTTTTAGAAGGTTACTTTTAATTGCTTGTGCCTGTCCTAATGGCTTAAAGCCAAGAAAACCACAGTATAAATCCTTTTGTGTGCGTATACTCAATTTGTTTTGATAAGATATTAGTCACTTCAAGTTTTACGTGAAAGTTGATTCGGTTCAAAATATATTTTGGCATATTTCTCTACTGAGTTACAAAGTAATTAAACACAATGCAAACAGAACTCTTAAGAGCATAGAATGATTTTTGATCTGATGTTACTTAAATTTGAGAGGAAGTCATTTCTTGCTACTACACTCCTGCTTTCTGGGAAACAGTTTTTTTCCCACTGGAAGAGTTAGCAGTTGAGTGTTGTAGGTCCTGATCTACCTATAACTTATAGGCAGTATCATTACTGTCTAAGTGATTATTTGCCTAACAAAGGTTTTATTTTGTCTTTTTTCTGGTAGATTATACAATGGACAACTTTAGTGACTAGACATGTGGGTGATTTGGTGGGAGTAGGTATATACTTAGTGGAATGGTACGGGATATTTTATGGAAGAGAATTCATTGGAGGGGAGATTGAAGTATATTGTGAAGAAGGATTTGAACATGTAGTCTCTGGTTTGCTCTAGTAACTGCAATTTACGTATGCTTATTTACAAATTTTGTTCTTAAAGGAGAACTCCTAGAATTACTAGGAAGGCCATTCCTGCCACATTTATAAAATAGTGGTTTTATCCCTGCCCCAAATCATCAGGATTCTCAGGGCTTAAGGGAAGTGGTCTAATGGGTAGTAATAGCAGCTGTAGTGGAGGTGATTGGGAATGTACTGAGTTCCATATGCAAGTGGGTGTGAAATGCTCACAAAAAAGCAAAACTTACTGTTCATCAGACAGTAACCTCCAACTCCCTCAACTCCAGCCCCAAGTATGTGGCCCTACTGGATCATATGGTGACTCAAGCTTCCCAGATTTGATCCAACCCAAATATACTTGAGGAGGAGGGAGTCAAGGAGGAAAGGCTGTTGAAGATCTTTATCCTGTTCAAGAGAAATATGTGCCCTAGAGCTGCTCCAGCATCCTTGGTTTCTGAATTTTTTTATATTGAATATGAGTTAGAAGAGTGAAATCAGATGACTCTTGACTGCAAAAATGTTTATAAGCATATAGCCTTCTTACATTTTGGTATAAAGCTGTGAACTTCATAACTTTGTAAAGCAAGATAAAAAGCAAATACAAGAAGAAAATAAAGTACTTTTACTAATTGTTACCTTGTCTTCATATTCATGGTCATCGCTTTCCTTCCCATGCTCTCCTAGAGAGCAAGAAGGAAACTGGGAAACACAAGATGCTTATAGATGTGCTTCAGACCATGGTCCAGATAAGTTTGGCAGACAGCTGCATTCCAGAGTTTGTCCAAGTTTACACAACAGCTCAATTAGTGGGTGGAGGAGCTAGCATTAAACCTGCATCTCTGCTCCATCACATTAAGGTAACTGTCCCCTCAGCCCCCCAGTTACACTAGACTCATTCATTCTTGATGTTCTGTAGCAACACCTCTTCCCCCTTCTTCCTTTTATATCTTAGAAAGCATCTGAGTGATTCCTATGTGCAAGAAATTCAATATGCATGATTAAAGAAGGGCTTGTGCTTTTGTTTTTGTGTGTGCTTGCTAGACTGAGCTTTCTATAGATGATAGTTGAGTATATGATTGGAAGTCATTCATCCCTGCTATGGCTGATACCTAAATGTGGGCCTAAATGTGAAAAATCAAAACACAATGGAATCACCCATACACATGCCTTTATTTAGATCAGTTTTTTTTTTAAGATTGTGGCCAGACTTACACGTGAGATGACCCAAGATATCCAGCCCTATTCCACTGAGTTAGTTTACCCAAAGCAGGCCTCTCCTAAAACAATCAGGCAGACAAAGTGCTGGTTTGGTTACTATCCCATGGGTGGGAGAGCATAAAAATGATGGAGGCTTCCAGCACAAAAGAAGTGCTGAGTTCCACTGCCAAATGCTTCTGCAAACAGCCCAAAGCAGGGGAAGCAGGACGCATTTGTCTCAGATCAGCCCAAACCTCTTGGGTTACAACTCGCTGAAACAGACACTTTTCCTTCACATGGCAAAGGGACAATGTTCTCCCTACCACATTGCTTTACTAAAGGGACAGACTGGGCATGACTGGTCAAGGCCTAGTAGGGAGCAAAGTGGAAGCCTGGAGGCCTGCTGGGCAGCAACTTCTGGGTCCTCTGGGTCCTTTGAGGTAAGTGCTTCCAGCTGTATTGGGTGAACTTGAAATCCTGAGTGATCCTGCATGGCTTTGGATGAGGCTAGCCTGGTTCAGGCATACATGGTGAGCTGTAGCCACTGAAAGAGGACTTGCAGGATTAGAGTGTGGACAAGAAAAAGAGAGCCCAGCCCTAGGTATTTTGTGGGCAGAGAGAGAGGGAATAGTCCCAGCATGCCAGACTCTGGGAAGACTTTCAGAGAAACAGTGGTTTACTGCATCTTTTCTCCCAAATTTTCCCTAGGAAGGTACATGTTTTCCAGCCAAAGTAATTTGGAGAGCCAAGGCCCCTTTGTGCCTCAAGCATATCTGCCCTGTGGGCCACATTCCTGTCTAAGCATCCTCATGTTCCACTCTTGTCCCATCACTCCCTTACCATTTAGGAGTGAGGAGCACATGGTGGGCCCAGTCTGCCTCAAGGCCCACTCACTGTTGAATTTTAAGGTGCAAGGGAATGTGGTGCATCGCTTATGCTTATTTACCTCCAGAACATTGAGTTTGATAATGCCATCTCCGTCCTTGTCAAATGCATTGAAAGCTCCTGTGTGGAAGAATGCACAGGCCAGGGGCCAGTTACAGGCTCGTGGGGCTTCCCTGACTGACTTTACTTAAGAAAACCATGCACTAAGAGCTCTTTAGCCCAAATATCTGCAGGCAGGGTCTCACTGACAACCCTCCGTTTGCCGCTCTACTCTGGGCCTACAGGGGCGTTGGCCTTTGTTCATCCCACATACAGCAGACTGGAAGATGATCAGGCTGAGATTCCTATCAGGGCCCGAGAGGGACCTGGAGGCCCAAGGAGCAGCAGGGCACTTACTGAACATGCCCTCCAGCCTGATGAAGCAGCAGATGAAACTGTCGAAGTCAATGTTCATGTGTTTGTCCGCGTAGCGCATGGTGATGATGTCATAGAGCTGGCTGTTGAGGTGGAATCCTGCCGGGGGTGGGGGATGTTAGCCATGGTGGAGCCAGAGTTCTTAGGCCTGCATTCTATTTTCCCTGCCTCTTGGCTACTCTATGGCCTGGGAAAGAAAAACAAGAAACCCTTTCCCTCTTCTTCAGTGGGGCCCTAGTGGCTTAGCCCCCTTCCTGTTCTTGCTTCTGCTAGCTCTGGTCCACCCCCCTGCCACCCCTTCCTCCCCAGCACCTGCATCATTGACTGCGTTTCGCATCTCGTAGCTATTAATGGTGCCAGATTGGTCTGTGTCATAGTGTTTGAAAATTTTCTGGCAATAGAAAATGTGAGGGCAGCAGTCACACACTGAATCCTTGAATTGACCCCCTCCACCGCCCATTTCATTCTCTTCCCACCTGCCAGGCCTTAATCTTATTCCAGAGGTGATGGAACTCTTGTAGATTCAGCCTCCCAGAGCCATCTGTCTGGAGGAGGGAGGTCAGGGCTACAGGGCACATAGCAGAATCTCCCTGGATTGGAAGGGGCATCCTGGTGGACTCAGGGAAGATGGCCTCATAAGAAGCCTCTGCCTGGGCTTTTGTCCCCCACTGCCTTCACAGCCATCAAACCTTCCCCTCCACCTTTCCACCCGCCAAAGTTCCTGCCTACTGTTTCCTATGGACCATTTCTCCTTGGGCAGCACCCAGACCTGCAGCGAGCATGGGGGCTAGGGGCCACTGACAACTCAATGTCCTTTCCTTCTGCTTCTTAAGAACAATCCCTTTCAGCCCAGAGTGCCCAAGATGTTTTGAATCAGGATCTCCATAAGTTTATCCCTGGACACACCCTGGGGCCCTCTGCCTGGTGGGGCACCCCTTGTCTTTGCCCTGGCTTGGTGGGCTGACAGGGCCAGAAAGGATACATCCATGAGAGCAATCATGCTACGGCAAGACTCCAGCGTGAACCCGTGTGACTTCAGGTCCTTATCTGGAAGGACGGAGGAGAGTGAGGATCCGCCTTCAGACAACTGGACTCCCCCTGCCCATCCCCAACATCTGTTTGAGTTGCTCACGTTTGTTCACAACCGTGTTAAGGACATTCTTGAGCTCATCTGCACAAATCTCCATGTCCTAAGTAGGAAGGGAGGAGAGAGTGGTGGTTCAAGGGTACAGCAGCTGATGGAGCAGTGGCTTTGCAAACCAAATCCCAGCTGTCCATACTTGTAAAATTCCTGAGGAAGCTGGAGAGGCGGGGACAACACCCTCAGCTATTCAGTGGGCAGTTCTGAGCAAAAGGCCTCAGAGCTGTAGCAAAAGGCCTAGTGGCTGTAGCATTCCCAAATTCAAGGACTTGTGAGTTTCTGTGCCACACGCAATATATCCCCCAGTTCCACCAAAAACCAAAATGACCTCTGCTGAGCAATAATAAAATAGCTGGTAATGGGAGCAGTTGGTGGAGAGGAGGAGGCAGCAGCTGGAGGCCTAGGGCTGCAGGTACTCACATCGCCTGCTATCTGCTTGAAAATGTTCCGAAATTGCTGCTGCTCTTCACTTTCCTGGTCAGTGTTGCCAGGTCGTGGCTGTGGAAGCACAAAGAAAAACCCGTTCACAGAAATCAGGGAGATGGACAGACCGGGGCCAAAGGAGCCATGGGCCTAAAACAGCCATAGGTGGAAGCAGGAGCTGAGGGGTGGGGCAGACGCTGCCTTTTCAGACCTGGTGAGCTGGAGTGAGGAGCATCTGGGCCTCTGCAAGTCTCCACTCCACATGCCTCCAGCTCGGACACCCAAAGCCAAAATGACAACATGCCGACAGCCTTCCTGGTCCCCTCACCCCAAACCCCATCAATTTGAAGCCTCTCTACTATTTTCAGTGAAAATGCTCCAATGGGTCAAAGGTCTGACCATTCTGATTCCTCCACCCACTGCTGTCACCAAGGTCAGGTCCTCAGAGGTCCCCCTCCCCACTCCACAAGTGCCCCATGATGGAGGAGGTGGCCTGGGTTTGTCTGGGGGCTTTTGGCCCCAATCCTCACCTCCACTACGCCTTGTATAACCACCTCTCCCTGCTGTAGCCCAGCTTCCTCCCCTGAGTTCTGGAGGCTGACATGGCTGCTGTCAGCCCCCCTTTCTTCTACTATGTGTCTCCCTATTGTCAATAATTAGAGGACACCAGGAGACAGGAGGGTTCAGTCTCCACTCTCAAGCTGGTATCTTCTCTGCCTTGCCTCCCATTCTGTCATTGTCCTGGCTGGATAGGCTCCGGTGGGAGACTCAGCCTGTCATTCCAGTCCTAGGACTGGTATGCTGTGGCAGCCCTCACCCCCAGGCATTCACCCAAGCAGCATCCCAAATTTTAGGGAAACTTGTAGAGACAAAATGTCCGTGGGACAAATCCAAACCTCCAGAAGCTAGAGACACCCCCAGGAAACCCATCATCCCCCATGTACCCCGGCATAGCAGGCCCCCCGTGGTGTGCTGGCCACCCTAGTCATGCCACATGCTCAGACACCTGTGGGGACTTCTCTTGCTTATCAGGGCTTGTTTTGCCTTTGCCCTCCTCTGACTCCTGGTCCACACCCAGCTCCTTGTTGCTGTTTGCTCTGTCTGAAACGAAGATGATGGGCTAGAGAGAGGAGGGGAGTGAGGAGGGAGCAGGAAGGAAGCAAGGGTTACAGACTGAGCAGGTCCAGGCAGGCAGCCTTTCCCCTGGAGCAGCCTTGTTCAGTGGGAAGAGGAAGAGGTCACAGTCTGGGGCTCTTGAACCTCCACTCAAGCTCCACCTCTGCCACTAACAAGCTGTGTGACTTGGGGAAAGATGTAAGCCTCTCTGGGCCTCAGTTTTTTATCTTTTAATACCCACTCCATCTCTCCTCATGGTAGAGTTATGAGGGTTCAACAAGGTAGTACATGTGTAAATGCCAAAAAATACTAAAACACAGCTTGTCTTGAGCTAGTGTCATGATTTTCAAGTATTTCGTAGGCTTTTTTCCGAATGGAAACACTGTTTAAATTAAATTTCCCCAGAAACCTCATGTATATAAAGTTGTTGAAGCTCAGTGCCTGTAGCTCAAGGGGCTAGGGCGCCAGCCACATACACTGGAGCTGGAGGGTTCGAATCCAGCCCGGGCCCACCAAACAACAATGATAACTACAACCAAAAAATAGCCGGGCATTGGGCCGCGCCTGTGGCTCGAAGGAGTAGGGCACCGGCCCCATATATTGGAGGTGGCAGGTTCAAACCCAGCCCTGGCCAAAAACTGCAAAAAAAGAAAAAATAGGCGTGTGGCAAGCACCTGTAGCTCCAGCTACTTGGGAGGCTGAGGCAAGAGAATTGCTTAAGCTCAAGAGTTGGAGGTTTCTGTGAGCTGTGATGCCACGGCACTCCCAGGGCAACAGCTTAAGACTCTGTCTCAAAAAAAAAAAAAAAAGCTGTTGAAAACAGCTCCTCTGATTAATGAGGGCAGAGCTCTTTCCCCTGAGCACCCACATCAGGAGGGCAGCTACTGAGGCCCCTCCAAGGAAGCCCTCGGACTGGACTTCACAGATTGAAAGACACTGGCAAGTGGCATGGTCCAAGGTTAGAATAGAGGACTGGAATCCAGCCCTGCCCCTAAGGTTAGAAATAGCCTCTCTGGCCTCAGTTTACTCATTCTTTCCTGGGGGAGGGAAAGCCTGCTTTTCCTTCCTCAGGGTTCTTGTGGGGATCAAATGAGATACTGAACATGAAACTGCACAGCAAAAACATTGAAGATGGTACACACATCGTATAAAAGACATTTTCAAGACATGCTTGTGCAAGTGAAGAGGATGTGACACGGGTGGAGAGCGGCTGCCACAGCGTACCAACACTGGTGAGAGCTGTGCACTGCAGGGAAAGGGAAGGAAGGCCTGGTTGAGGGTGGGGGCAGCAGTGCAGAGAGCTGGGGCCGGCAGAGCCCCTCAGAGCAGAAAAGCAGCCTGGCCAGTCTCAGTCCCCGTCTGCCTTTCCATGCTGTTTGTCTAGGACTGCTGGAGCAGGCAGGCCTGGGAAAACAGCTCCCACAGCCGCGGCTCCCAGCAGGCCCCAGGGGCCTATGCAAAGAGTCTTCTTACTCAAGCAGCTGAAGCCTGTGGGGATCCCAGAGCAAGTGGAGGTCACAGTCTGAGGTGTGCCAGTAGACATGGTGTGGCCATGGAGCACCCCTGCCAGGTACACATCTCCAGGCCCAAGTGCAGGTCTGGACTGACACTGGCCATGGAGGTGGCCAGGTGGGGGTGGGGGTGGGAGGGGCAACACCCGAAAGGGGAGGGCAAGACACAGGTATGGTTTCCCATTCCATTTTTCTGTACTCATTATTTGTGTGTCTTTGGGCAAGTCCCTTCATTTCTCTGAGTCTGTGCCTTCACCTGCAAAAGGGGAAAAATAACAGCACCTGCCTTATAGGTACTGTTATAACTAAAAACCAAAAAAGCGGTTTTACCCCTGGCATAGTGCCTGACTCGTGGGAGGTGCTTGGTGAGTATCAGCTCCAGTTTGAACCAGCACCAGTACTTGAAGGACCCCTGTGAGGACCTCCGGGCACCCCCATAAACACTACCGTCAATTCTTATCTGAGGTTCAGAGCACAGACTCCAGAGCCAGACTACTGGGCTCCAGCTGCTGGCTCTGCCACTTCCTGGCTGTGTGGCCTTGGCAAGTCAGTCAATCTACCTGTGCTCTCCCTCTGGAAAGGGGGATAATTACAGAACCAACCTCATAGGGTTGTTCAGAGGATTGAGCTGGTCCACGGAAAGCATTTCGAACAGTGCCCAACAAATAGCCTGCCCCCAGCAATATTCACGCTCACAGCTCAGCAGGAGCTGGGGAGAAGAGGGGGAGGAAGAGGCAGGTCTGGTGCATGCATGTGCATGAGCTCACACACACGCGTGCACATACACACAGACACGTGTGCAATACAAACAAGTACACATGTATACAGTACAATACATACACATGTATACATGTGTGCAATATATGCACACACAGAGCAATGAGTGCACACACGTGCAATACATGCGCACACATGCATGTACACAAACACACCGCACTCTCTACCCACTCATTTTATTACACCCACCTTGGGTTTTTTCTTTTTCTGCACAAGAAAAGGAAGCAGTAAATGCAGAATAAGTGAAAAGCAAGTTGCCAGAGTGGCCAGTGGCTTTTGGCTTTGGCTGTCCTGTGTCCCGGTCCTCAACTAGGGGTGAGGCTCCAAGGTCCAGAAATGTGACTCACACAGAACCAGAAAGGGGCATGAAGAGAGAATTCTTTTTTCTTGCCCCTCCATTCCTGGAGACCAGTGACTGCTATGGCTTTGTCTTTGTAATCCACTGTCATTAGACATGGTCAAAGAAAAGGATCTTCTTACTAATGTTTATGTTTGTTTGAGTTTTTCAATAAAATTAGAAAAGGCTCACTGAAACTGTCCTGAAGATGAATTTTGACTTATAGTATATATTTTTAATTTGTGGGATGAACATTTAATATATGGAGATTTAATATGGAAATCCAGGTTTAGGGCTTCTTTAGTAAAACGAAAAGGTCTGGCAGGCTACCATGAGCCTGCAACCCCCTGTAGCAACAATAGCTGAGCTGAGAGTGGCTGCTATCTGTGTCCCCCAGATTGTCACAGTCACCAGCATTCCAGTTGTCCCTCCAACACTGAAGCCAATAATTTCAGACAAATATGCCAGGGCAGGGACACCAAAACCCGTACACCTGCCTGCTCTGCTCAGTGAGACGACACGCAAGCTCCCACTAGCTTCTGAACTTGCAGTTCCTGATAAATACTGTACACTGGTTACCAGAACCCAAAGCTCCAAGGTAGTCCCAAGAGCCCAAAGCCCTAAGGCAGTCCCAAGATTGCTTGATACAGATACAGATACCAAAACACACCAACTCTGTGCCTCTGACCTTGGACTTCTCACCTGCGGGGGGTGGGGTGGGGTGGGGCTGACCTCAGCATGGAGGGGAAGAAACCTAAATCTGGAGTTGGAAGGTCTGGATGTGAGTTCCAGCCCTACCAATTACTAGCTCTGTGAACTCAGGGAAGTCATTCAACCCCACTGAGCTTCTGCTCCCGTGCTTCAGAACCAGGGATTATAACTTCATCTACTTCTCAGAAACCTTGCAAGGATCAAGTGAGATAAAACATGTGACAAGTACCTTGTGAGATGGGAAATCTGTGAAAAGTAACCTCCACATGAGTGCTCGTGCTGTGACAGACACTTCTCATACGTGATCTCATGGATTTAAACTTCACAAAAACTTTGCAGGACATATTATAATTATCCTCATTTTACAGAGTAGGAACCTGGGTCAGAGGGATTACAGGCAGTCCTCCAGTGACAAACTCCAACTGACATGCAAATCACACTTAGGAACACTGGCTATTACAGGTAATAGGTAAATGTACCCGTTCTAACTTACCTATAAATTCAATCTAAAAGTAAACCTACAGAACCTATCTCTTTTATAACCTGGGGACTGTCTGTATATAAATTATCCAGGTATCTCAGAAGGTAGGAGGAGGATCCAGGTTTTGACACTGAGTCCAGAGCTGGTATACCTTTCTCTCTGTGAGAAATCCAACACCGTCCAACCTCATAATCCCATGGTGGCCGCCATGCTTGTCATCTCTCCTTGCAGTCTCATTCTCTCCCTCTGACAGTTGGAACTGCTTCTCCATTCTGGGATCCTCGCCATGCTTCCTACCCCCTGAACTGACTAAATGGCCCCAGCACCATAAGGCCCATTACGTCTGGTCATGCCAAGCAGAAGTGGCAGTCACATGGAGTAAATTCTCTGCGTGCCTACACTCCCATCTCCCTCTGCCAAAACCCACTCTCGCCCACACCACCTCCTAGTCCCTGCACGGATCAGGGAGCATGACTCTGTGGGCTTTTTCCTCACATGAGAGCTAAAAAACTCACCACTGGCCGATCCACAGAGATTGTGTTTTCAGCTTCCCTGTGAAGAACACAAACATGTGGGGGTTTTGTTACCAGGAGCAAGTGGGAGGCACATAGAGGATTTGTTCAGGCCACGTGGCTTCTTCGCAGCAGCCACATCAGGACTGGCCTCAAGGGAACCCCAGGAACCAGCCCCATGTAGGCACAATCCCCATTAGCCAGACACCCGGGTTCTGGTAGGCATTGCCCAGAGCCCCCAAAGGCATGGCCCAGTCTCCTACCCATGGCCTGGGCTTCCTCCGAAGACAGAGATCGGAGTGGCAGGGGGCTGTGTACCCCTCTAATCCTTCTTCTCTATTTTTTCTCCTAATTGCTTCCCTAAATCTAACATGGATTTTTTTCCTATCCATTGTTGTCTCAGGCTAAAATGTTAAATTCCACAAGGGCAGGGATTTCTTACTGTTTTAATTAACTGCTCTATCCCAGCACCTGGAAGAGTGCCTGGGATAAATAGGTGCTCAATAAATATTTGCAGGATTATCAAATGAATGAATGAATGGGGTGATGTGGCCAGTGGCTCAGGAGCTGAGGAAGAGGTACAGCAGGTCAACGTATGCCAGGCCCAGTGAAGGTCCAACCGCCTCACACCTTTGGTCTCTGAAAGGGTCATGTGAGCTTTTAGGGACAGACTGGTACTCACTCAGAGAGATTCCTCTTTTCAGAGAAGACCCGGAGGATGAACTCTCCCTCCTGGTGGGGCTCATAAGTGGAGGGCACGATGACATACTCGCTGGGAGGCAGGCGGAAGCGCTGGGACACCTCCCGCATGTTGATGTAGGTCTTGCTCCTGGCCTTGGAGGCGTTGTACAGGAAGAAGTCCTTCTGCAGGTGCTGCTTGTTCCCATGCATCTGGGGACAGGAGAGACTGAACCTGGGGAGGGACGCCCTGTCCTCCTCACAGTCCCCTCCAGACCCTTCCCAACTCCTTGGTCACCCATCTCAGTCTCAACCTGCCTACCTGCCTCTGATTCCCAAGGCCTTCACCAGCTGGCCATCCCTACCTCCCTCCCTCTTCCTCTTCTGCTGGGACTCAGGAGTGACGGGCAAGTCTGCCATCTCCACACTCAGGGCCACTTACCAGAACTGCACCTCCTCAGGCTGGAACAACCCCAGGAAGGTCAAGGACCCTTAACTGGGTTCTTAGGGAAGATGATTCTTCCATCCCAAGGAGGGCAGCCACCCTCAGAACATGTTTGTGTGAGTGTGTATAAGTGTGTGAAGGTACATGCATGGAAGTGTCTGGTGCATGAGAGAACGTCCACATCATGGGGTGGCCATCACAGGTCATGCGATACCCTGGGGCACCTGCTCTGCAGTAGAAATAACGTGGGCAAGATCCTCTCCTGCATAGTGCTCCCCACAAACCCCACCAGGAAGCTTCTCGAGAGGAGTCTGTCACGGACAGACTCGGGACAGGTAATGCCTTGCTGTACACAACCGCTGGCCGCTGCCACTGCCATACCTCTTTGGGAACCTTGAAGAGAAATGGGAAAAGAAGATGTTTCATATTCAAATGAGGATGAAAAAGTTACAGAAGGGAATGCGGGCAACTGCCTCCTGAATCCAACAACCTGACTCCCCGGTTGCCTCCCTCTCCCCCAGCCAGTCCTGACTCCACTCCACCACCCACCCTGCTACTTTTTGCTTGTTACAAACACAACTGGGCTTGATCCTAGGGGCTCTGGGGGTCACTGAATTTCAGGGAAGCCAGAGGTCCCCACTGGAAGCCCCCCCAAAGCTTCCTGGCTGGGAAGACGTGTTTCCTGGGGTGGAGCTGGTCCCCAAACCTCATAGATGGCGAAGCCGATGGTGAAGAGGTTGGCCCCCAGCTTCCGGTCCTTCCGACGGTTCTTCTGCATCAGGGCCACCAGGAAGCTGCAGATCACCTCAGAGTCATCTGGGTCGTCGTCCTCCTCCAGGAGCTTCAGACGGTACTGTGGGTTGGTCCAGAAAGTGTCTGCGCCCCCCAGACAGGAAACACACATTCAGATCTGCCTCTTGGAGAAAGGGCAGGAAGGGAAATGGGACAGAAAGAACTTATTTATCTCTTTCCCCCGTGTCTAGGTGCACAATAAATATCAATGGAAAATAAATTTGTCTAATTAGTCTAATTATGGGGCGGGGAGCCTATGCCTCTGTACAGAGGGAGCTGCACTGACTGGGGGTGTGACTCCTCCTTCCTCTCCAAACTTTCATTTTTAGTCTTTGCTGATGGTTTTACTTTCCTCACTGGCCCCGTAGATGTTGTTGGTCCCTGGGATCTGGTCCTGGGCCACATGTCCTCTCACTCCTGCTATCCTGCCTCCCTGGGCTGTCTTGCTCACTGCCGCATTTTAACTGCCCCTATATGCTAATGACACCTGAGCTATAGGAATATCTCTGTCCCAGTCTCTCTTCTGACTGTTCCCTCTCTCCCTTCCTTCCTTCTGTCCTCAAACATTTTCTTAGTTCCTATCATATAATCAAGTATTATCTAACACGAGCACCCAATTCTCCATTACGAATCTTCACCTGGTTATTCTATGGTTACCTCAAACTTTCCATGCCCCAAGCTAAACTCCTTTCCCTATAACTCCACACCCAATCCCACCAAAAACAATAAACACATACTGAAACACACTGATTAGTTTTCACTTATGTGCTTTTTTTTTTGAAATAGGTTATTGCTCTGTTACCCAGGATAAAGTTCCAAGGAGTCAGCCTACCTCACAGCAACCTCAAACTCCCAGGTTCAAGTGATCCTCCTGACTCAGCCTCCCAAGTAGCTAGGACTACAGGTGCCTGGCATAATGCCTGGCTAATTTTTCTATTTTTTGTAAAAATAGGGTCTAGCTCTTGCTCAGGTTGGTGCCAAATTCCTGAGCTTCAGCCTCCCAGAGTGTTAGGATTACAGGCGTGAGCCACCGTGCCCGGCCTTACTTGTGTGTCCTATACTGCAACGTTGACACCCTCCACTCAGACCACCAAACTGGGATTCTTGACATCATTCTTCATTCTTCCTTCCCCACATTCCTCAATATGCTCTCCTCCACATCTGCCTTCTCCCCCTCCGTCTCTGCTTCTACTACTTGGTCAAGGCTTTCATCATTTCTGACTCAAACTACTGCAGTAGCTGCTAACACAGTTCTCCAGGACCATCCTCAATGCTACTGACACACAGTACAGTCCCCAACTTACGATGACTCAACTATGATTTTTCAACTTTATAGTGATGCAAAGGTGAAATGCATTCAGGAGAAACCATACTTCAAATGCGTATAAAACCATTCTGTTTCAGTATTGTAGTCAACAAATTACATGAAATTACAAGAATTATAACGTATCTCATGTAATTTGTCGAATACTGTACTGAAACAGAATGGTTTATGGAGCACCTAGATATGAGGGAAAGAGATAAAACACCTCTCAGTACTTTATTATGAGATAGGCTTTGGGTTAGATGATCTTGCCCAACTATAGGCTAAGATAAGTGTTCTGAGCACATTTAAGGTAGGCTAGGCTAAGTGATGATGTTCTGTGGGTTAAGTGTATTAAATACATTTTTAAAAATTTCAATACATTTAGTGGGCACAAGTGTTTTTTTGTTACATGGATGAATTGAATATTGGTGAAGTCAGGGGTAGTATACCTGTCACCTGAATCATACACTGTACCCGATAGGTGATTTTTGATCCCTCACCCCCCTAAGTGCATTTGTGGCCCGGATATTTTCCACTTATGATGAGTCTGTCAGGACACAACCCTAACATAAGTTGAGGAGCACGTCTACAGCTCTGATAGTTTCTTGTTTTAAGCTGCAAACTCCTTAGCAGGAGAGTCCCCTCAGTGAAATGCAGAAGATAAGGATCTTATTTAATAAGATAAAGGATGTCTGGAGCATAGGAGAGACTCAGTAAATGACAGTTAACATTATTCTACCTGGAACTCATTCTGCTTGGATGCCCCCCCCCCCCATCAAGAGTATCTCCCACCTGGGAAGTTTCGGCAGCCTCCAGCAGAGCAGCCCCTCACCCAGCGGCCTTCATTCACCGACACTGTCCAGGTCTGGAGCTTGTCAGACTCCAGGGCGTCGGCTGTGAGGTTGCAGATCTCCAGCTTTGTGAAATGGTAGATGAAATCATCATATGACATCCTAAGAGGTTGGAAGAAGAAAGAGACCCATAGGATAGCAGGTGGGGAGAGGCTGGAAAAAGGGAAACCAGGGCTGACAAAGTACAATAAAATAGTTCAAGGGAACTTGGTCAAGGTCCCAGAAAGAGGATCCTGTCCTTCCCTTTTAGGGTAAATACTGTCCCTTCTAATGTATCTACCCCAAACTATTATCCCTTCCAATAATGACTCAAAAATAACCCAGGTGTGGAAAGACAAATATCACATGTTCTCACTCATATGTGGGAGCTTAAAAAAAAATGCATCTCCTGGAGATGGAGATGGAGATGGTGGTTACCAGAGGCTGGGGAGGGAAGGAGGAAGGGGTAGGATGGACAGAAGTTAGCTAATGGGTACAAAACTACAGTTAGATAGAAGAAATGAGTTCTAGTATCCCATAGTACAGTAGGAAAATTATAATTAACAATAATTTATTGTTTATTTCAAAATAGCTAGAAGAGAAGAATTGTAATGTTCTCAATACAAAGAAAAGATAAATACTTGAGGTGACAGATATCTCAAATACCCTGATTTGATCATTATATATTGTATAACATATCAAAGTGTCTCATGTACCTCCAAATATGTACAACTATGATATATCAATAAAAAAATACAAAAAAACCTCCCCTCAATATTGCACTAACATATTTAATGTCTGCTATAGTGTCAAAAAGAGTTAATAGAAAAACACTTATTTTCCCAAATGGAGCTAAGAAAAAGGGGACTATTAAAAAAAAAAAAAAACATTGGTTACAGGGCATATATCTCGTTTTCTTTCTTTCTTTCCTTGTTTTTTAGAAACGAGGGTCTTACTATATTGACCAGCTGGACTCAGAACTCCTGGGCTCTTGTGATCCCCCCCTGCCTCAGCCTTTTAACTAGCTGGGACTTCAGATGTGCTCCACCATGCCTGGCTATGTATCTTGTTTTCTAAGTGACTGCTGTCCATAATTCTACTGCTTAAGCTTTATTATCATCATTGATTTCAGAAAACTCAAATTTACTTGTAATGAGAAAAGCTCTGTTACACATTTACCTGTTAGTTTATTTCCAAACTTATTCTACTTTTTTTTGAGACAGAGTCTCACTCTGTTGCCCTGGGTAGAGTGCCATGGCATCATAGCTCCCAGCAACTTCAAACTCTTGGGCTCAAACGATCCTTTGGTTTTGCCTCCTGAGCAGCGGGGACTACAAGTGTCCGCCACAATGCCCTGCTAGTATTTTTTCTATTTTTAATATAGATGGGGACTCACTCTTGCCTCAGGCTGGTCTCTAACTCCTAAGCGCAGGCAATCCACCCACCTCAGCTTCCCAGAGTGCTAAGATTGCAGGTGTGAGCCACCACACCTTACCTCTAAATTTATTCTAAATATAAATATGACTCATGCTACAAATTATGAAGAAATATAAAGAAGAGGAAAACTAAAAAACTCTGAAACTGTTTTGAAGTTTGGAGTCCACGTTGTATGAGAACTTTGACAAATGTAACACAACTTTCTTAACTACCACACTTAAAAGCTTTCTAGGATTATTATTTATTTTAATTGGAATACAAATAACATGGTTATAAAAACTAGAAACATGTAGCACCCACTTTAGTTTCTATCCATTCATTATTTACATATTCTTCCTTTAAAAAAAACTGAAGCATAACTTATGTATAATTAAGTATACAAATCTTAAAATCTCAAACTCGTGTATCCTTAATAGGAGAGTTCAACAGAAATCCATTTCTCCAAAAAGTTCTTGTGTGTCCCACCACTGTGCATCAGGCACAATGCTCGGGAAAAGAGATGTAGTTGGGAAAGGACAGTAAATTAAGCAAGTAATTTTAAGTGTGATAAGCATCAGAAATAAATTAACATCAGTCCTGAGGAAACTTAGGGAGGCCTGAAGAAAGTTCCCTTTAAGCTGAGACTTGGAGGCTGAGTAGAAGTGATCTGAGTGAGGTCGGCATTGAGAGCTCAGGGCAAGTAGAGCTTCCTAGGCTCTGAAGAGTTGTGTTAAGGCCAAGTAGCAAATGTGGCTGGAGCAGAGTGTGTGGTGGAGGGACGCAGGTGAGGCAAGAGCCACATTATGCTGATCTGCTCCTGGCAATCCTCAGTCATTACTGTGACCTGGAGGACCTTGGTCTGGAGGAGGAGAATAGGGCCCACATCTCCCAGGGGTCTGGGGACTGAGGGCTGGGACTTCACCTCTCTGCCCCATCCCTTACCCTTCTGGATCCTCCTGGGTTCTGGACTCACCAGAACTCTCCATCCTCAGTGACCTGGTGCTGCAGACGGGCCTTCTCATCTTTGTCCACAAAGCTCCAGTCCTTCCAACTGGTGGGAAAATAAAGGAATTAAGGAAGGAGCAGGAAGGAAAGGCCTGAGGTAGGTTGGGACAGAAGGTATCAAAGAAATACAAAGAATGGCGGCCAGCACGAACCATCAAAATGCTGACCTGATGTTGCCTGAAGAGTAAAAGCCAGAAGTAATCGCTTCCTGCCATCCTCAGGATTAAGACCAAACTCCTTAAATGGGCTTATGAGGGCTTGACCCATCTCCTCCCACTTTAAAGGTTAAGAGCTGGGCTCCGGAAATAGGCAAGGAGGGCCCCCATTTGATAATAGTACTAGCTATATAACCTTGTGCAAGTCACTTAACCTCTGTCACATTCTATTCCCTCAACTGCAAAAGAGGAATGATTCCATCACTTACTGGGCTGTGATGAGTAGATGAAATAGGGCATGCAAAGCTGTCAGTGTAGTGCCTGCTGTATAACAAGAAATTGTCTGAGTGACTAAGAAAAAGACCAAAACATCCCTTTTCTCCTGCCAGGAAACAGCCCGGCATTGTGTTTCTAAAGGCTGAGCAGTTTTTACTCTTAAAGAGGGAGAAAATCAGGCACATTTGTGCTTCAGCCTCATAGCGGGGTAGGGATGGTGGTGGATTGCACTGAACTGGGTTGTTCTGGGGTAGGTAAGGTCCTAAGGAAGTGCTTGAAGTCAGAAAGTACTGGAGAGGAAATGGAGATTCCTGAGTCCAGAAGGAGGGTGACGGCCGGGCATCTTCTTGAGTGACCAAGGGTTAGGCCCCCTTGGTCAACAGTCTATGCAATGAGCATCAGCAGAAAGTGGGCTAAGGCTGGGCACTAAGCTCTGGGGCTGAAGGGCACAGCAGGGAGCCCTGTGGGTGACTTGGGCCAGCAGAGGGGACAACAGATGGAGCACTGAGGGCCGTCCTAGGGCAGTTCCAACCTCACTCCCTCCAGGTCTCCTCTCCTCTCCTTTGCTCCTTTCCTCCTTTCCTTTTTTTGAGACAATAGTCTCACTCTGTCACCTTGGGTAGAGTGGTGTGGCATCACAGCTCACGGCAACCTCAAATTCTTGGGGCTCAAGTTATTTTCTTGCCTCAGCCTCTGGAGTAGCCAGGACTACAGGTGCCCATCACAACACCTGGGTAGTTTTAGAGACAGGGTCTTGCTCTTGTTCAGGCTGGTCTCGAACTCCTGAGCTCAGGCAATCCACCTGCCTCAACCTCCCAGAGTGCTGGGATTACAGGTGTGAGCCATGGAGCCTGGCCTGGGTTAGCTTTTTCTATTCTTCTTGTCCCACACCAACTAGGTGAGGTGCTCCCACAGCATTTGTCCCAATTATTACTGTCTGTCTTCCCACTGGACCTTAAATCTACAGGGCCAGGGCCCTTGTGTTAGTGTTCATTTCTACATCCCAGACATAGCCTAGGGCCTGGCACAAGTCAGCCCTGAGGCAGGATTTGCCACATGGAGAAGTGAAGGGGTTCATGGGAGCATCTGCAGGAGATGGTGAGGACACAGGATCAGCACCTGTCCCCATCTACCTAGGGAGGCCACTTATTGACAGTTCCTGGACCTGGACCTCCTATCTAAAAGGTCCTCACTAAACATTGGCCAAGTGAATGAATGAGCCAGAAATCACCACGCACTGGGAAAGAGGTATGTAGAGTACAGGAGCCCAGGAGCTGCAGGGCCCACATGGCGGGGTGTGGTCCCTCTGGGCTACTGAGTCCCGCCAGCCCCCTCTAGCAATAAAAGAGGCACCCAAGGGGCTGCCTACCCTTCACTAGAGGCGACCAGAAACCAGTATTGGTGGGACTATGGAGGCTTTGTAAATGTTCTGAGCTTCCAAAATTTATGAAAGTTTGTTATTTTGGTTGCCCCAGTCTATTCTTTTCAGCAATAAGCAGGAAAATCCTTTCAAAGAGCTTGTGTGCCTTGTGTGAGACAGCAAGGGGGAGGAAATCTTAGCAAAGGCTCAGCACTCTCCAACAAGGGTCAAGTTTACTCATGACAGCCCACAAGGAAAGAATTCTTCCAATTTTACAGATAAGGCAACAGTGACTCTAACAAGGGAAGTCACTTGTCCAGACCAGACCCCTGCATTAAGACTCTGCTCCTGCTTGGGCCTAGCCCATGCTTTCTGGAATCTTTCCTTTCCAACCAATGACCCTGAACAACCTCTCTGAGTCCCTGATTCCCCGGCTCCTCTCCCAACCCTTCCCCAGAGCCCACACCTGAGCCCCTCTTCTCTGCAGGTGGTTGGTTTTGAGGATGATTTCACACCAAGCAGTTGTCATACCCTCATGACTGAGTACCCAACCCAGCCTGGCCCCAGGCCCTGTGGCCCCCACCTGTGGGGCCTCCTCACCTACCCATCACTCCAAGAGCCGTTCCACTCCACCTGGCCCCAGGGGTTCCGCAGCCGCACCAGCTTTACTTTCTCACCTTTGAATCGGGCCTTGGGAAGAGAAAAAGCTCTCATGCTCTGGAGCCTGTCTGCAAAGGGAATCAATCTTCTGTCTTGCTCTGAGAGCTGGGATGGGGATGGGGAGAGAGACCCTTATGGGGGCTGTCCTGCCTGGCCCTGGTTGAGACTAATTAAGAAGCAGACTGGGGAATGGTAGGGGATGAGTTCGAACATTTGCAGTGAGTCTGCAAGTCTGTAGGGTTTGGCCATCTCCTTGCCATCTATATTCTGAGAAGTGATTTTTCCCAGAGGACCTTCTGGCCATTATGAACTTTCAGGAAGGAGGTGGGGATACACAGCAGGGCTCCCATAGTACATTTGGGCGTCTTTGTATGAATTAGAAAAGAAGGCCCCTGCTGGCTGAGGAGCTACAGACAAGTGCTGCCTCTACATGGACTGATTAGAAAAAGGTGCCCCTTCCTCCAGTCTGCTGCAATGGGCTAAAGCAGACGATTGCCCCTCTCTGCCCATCTCTTTGTTCAGGGCACAACCTGGCAGGACTCACAAAAGTCCAGAAGTCCCAGAAGGAGCCAAACATTATACAGCTGGCCCTTCAGTATGCATGAGCTCCATGTAAGGGTTCAACCAACTGCAGATCAAAAATATTTGAAAAAGTGAATGATAATGTAACCCGCAACAGAGTATAACTGCAACATTTGCATTGTGTTAGGTCTTATAGGTAATAGAGAGATGATTTAAAGTATGCAGGAGGATGTGCATAGGTTATATCAAATACTGTGCCATTTTTTAGAAGAAATTGAGTATCTAGAGATTTTGGTGTCCACGGGAGTCCTGCAACCAACCCTCCCAAGGAAACTGAAGGATGAACCTGAGAGAACAGAAAACTCAAGAAGCCATGAGACCAACTTTGTAAAAGCCAAGTGATATTTCTATTTGTTTCTCAGAAATGCTGGGACAAGTGCCATCTTCAGCACTAAAAGCAAAGATAAACTAAGAAGCACCTCTGGCAAGATCCAGCTCCACCAGTTTTCACAGGGGTTCCCACCCACACCCCCAACTCCCCGGGCACTTGGCTTGGACCTTGAGCTGAATCCTCTGATTAGAAGTGAGCTCTGCAGGTGGTGAAGGTGCCCCCAAAGGTAAACCACGACTTCAGGACTTAACCCAAGCAGGTCCTTACACCACATCAGGCCCCACCGGCTCACCTCTTCCAGCCCAGTGACTGAGTAGGCGTGACCTTTCACCAGCCCACAGGCCATTCTTGTCTCATACTGAATCGGAACAATTGTCTGTAAAGCAATAACCAGATAGCCCATCAGAGGTTGGGCAGCAGAAGTTGCTGCTTGGAGACAGCTCATATTGGTTCATTTTCTGGGCTCTGTGAGGACAAGACCCACTCTGCTCCCTGAAAGTGTGCCTCAGGAGCACAAGCAGACTCTCTCTGGCTCAGGCGAGCTCATCACCCCGAGAAGGCTCTGTCCTGACCATCAGAGAACAATATGGATGCTGGGATATAAGATCAGGGAGAGTGTCCTGCTCCTTCTTTCTAAGCCACGTAGGGTCTTTCAAAGGAAGAAAGGAAATAGTTGGAGGCTGCCCTGGACTTTAGGGTACCCCTTTCCCTGAGGCCATGGAGGGTTGATTATTCCTAGAAGGAAAAGGGGTTGAGAAAAGGGATTAGGTGAAACATACAGGCCTAACCTTTTTCTTTATGCCTCCTCACCTCCTCCACACCCACCTAGAACAGAATAGTCAAGAAATCAAGAGTCACATCATCCAGGGAGAGAATTCTAAGGAGGCCCAAGAAAACCTTTGCTTAGACATGACTGTGCCTATAGCTCCAGGGGTAATTCATTCATTTGCAGACATTTCCATGTTGCAGCCATAGGAGATCCTTGGCTGACAGGTGGGATCACCAAAGCCCACTGAGTCCTAGAAAGGCTCTACATAGCTTCAGTTTGCCTAATAACATAAGAGATTGGGGGGGAGGGGCAGAAAGAGACTCTGTTGCCCCAGGCTAGAGCGCTATGGCGTCAGCCTAGCTCACAGCAACCTCAAACTTCAAACTCCTGAATTCAAGCGATCCTCCTGCCTCAGCCTCTTAAGAAGCTGGGACTACAGGTGCACACCACAACACCTGGATAATTTTTCTATTTTTAGTAGAGACGGGGTCTTGCTCATGGTCAGGCTGCCTTGAATTCCTGAGCTCAAGCAATCCTTCTGCCTCAGCCTCCCAAGAGTGCTAGGATTTTACAGGTGTGAGCCATCACTCTTGGCTTATCATAGTAGCTTTAAGGACCAAGTTCCTAGAGGCTTACTGGGCCATGGAATTCCTGGAACCTTCTTCTGTGTGAGGGAAGTGGGTGGGGCCAGGCTTTTGGCAACTCAGCCTCTCCCAGATCTCAGTCTTATGAGCCAGACTATACTGAACAGAAAGACAAGGGGCAAGAGACTCGCCCATTTTCAGCTCTAGACTTGGGCAGCTCCTCAACTCTTGACATTACTTAAGCATGTCATCTAACCCAGCAATTCCACTGCTGGAACTCTGTCCTATGGAGCTCACCACGGGTGTGCCCAGAGACATTTTAGCATAATAGCCAAAAAGAGAAAAAGAAAACAACCTAACTTTCCAACAATAGGGTATTAGGTAAGTGAAATAACACGTCTACATGTTTGAATATTGCGCAGCTACTAAAATGTTATAGCAGAATACTTTTGGCACATTAAGAATATAAAACTGGCTCGGCGCCTGTGGCTCAAGCGGCTAAGGTGCCAGCCACATACACCTAAGGTGGCGGGTTCGAATCCATCCTGGGCCCGCCAAACAACAATGATGGCTGCAACCAAAAAATAGCCAGGTGTTGTGGCCGGCGCCTGTAGTCCCAGCTACTTGGGAGGTAGAGGCAGGAGACTCGCTTGAGCCCAGGAGTTGGAGGTTGCTGTGAGCCGTGATGCCACAGCATTCTATCCAGGGTGACAGCTTGGGCTCTGTCTCAAAAAAAAGAATATAAAACTATCTAACAAAGCAGGCTACAAACAGGTACATACAGTATGACATTTAAAAAATAAAAATACGGTAGATAAATATTTTGTAAATATTCTCTACATTTTGGCCTACCTCTTTGTAAAATTATGCAATGAGTATTTTGCAAATAAAGGCACATTTAGCTACAATTTCCCATTTTTTCTGTATGGTGACTTTGGGGGTGACTTTTGGAGCACCCTGTAGATTAGGCATGTACATAGAAAAAAATCCTGGAAGAACACACCAAATGTTAGAAGTGATTTTCTTTAGATGGGGAAAATATAGGTTAAATTTCCCTGTGTTTTTATCTATGGCACAGTATTCTTTTTTTTTCTTTTAGACAGTCTTACTTTGTCGTCCTCGGTAGAGTGCTGTGGTGTCACAGCTCACAGTAACCTCAAACTCTTGGGCTTAAGCAATTCTCCTGCCTTAGCCTCCTAAGTAGCTGGGACTACAGACGCCTGCCACAATGCCTGGCTGGTTTTGTGTTGTTGTTGTTGTTGTTGTTGTTGTTGTTTTTTTTTGAGATGGGGCCTCAAGCTATCCCCCTGGGTAGAGTGCCATGGCATCACGCTCACAGCAACCTCCAACTCCTGGGCTCAAGCGAGTCTCCCGCCTCAGCCTCCCAAGTAGCTGGGACCACAGGCGCCCGCCACAACGCCCGGCCATTTTTTGGTTGCAGCCATCATTGTTTGGTGAGCCCAGGCTGGGGATTCAAACCCGCCACCTTAGGTGTATGTGGCTGGCGCCTTAGCCGCTTGAGCCACAGGCGCCGAGCCATTGTTGTTGTTGTTTTTGTTGCAGTTGTCATTGCCATTTTAGCTGGCCAGGGCCAGGTTCGAACCCACCACCCTCGGTATATGGGGCCAGTGCCCTACCCACAGAGCCACAGTGCCACCCTGGCTCAGTATTCTGTAGTGAACGTGTGTTACTTCTGTAAGTATGGGAAATAAACTCTTTTGCTTTTTTTACTAGCGTAGTGAACAAAGGGGAGAGAATTTGCTTTGTTAGATGAGTACCTGGTGCACAGTAAGAGCTCAAAAGTAAGTGTTAAAGAATGAATAAATGAATAAATTAGAAGAGAAAAAATATATATATATATTGAGACTGAGTCTCACTATGTTGCCCTCAGTAGAGTGCTGTGGCATCACAGCTCATAGCAACCTCCAACTCTTGGGCTTAAGTGATTTTCTTGCCTCAGCCTCCCAAGTAGCTGGGACTACAGGGGCCCACCACAATGCCTGGCTATTTTTTTTTTTTTTGTAGTTGTCATTGTTGTTTTGCAGGCTCGGGCCAGGTTCAACCCACCTGCATACGTGCATGTGGCTGGCACCCTAACTGCTGAGCTGCGGGCACAGAGCCAGAGAAAAAAATATTTTTAAATAAATTAAGTCTCTCTCTCATATTTCTGTGTGTAAATTCATTATCAGAGAAACTTCCTGGACCATGGAATATGAAGAAACTCTCACAGAATTCCCTCCAAATCCTGGCTCTTCAACCTTCTCCAGGAGCCTTGCAAAAAGCAAGTTATTCTATCCCAGACCCTCAGAAGGCCCCCAGGCGGGGGATCTGTGGGTGAGACATCGGCTGCTGGGGGGAGTCTGACACACAGCAGGGCCGGGTCATGCAGGTGGGAGAACGGTCAGTGTTGACAGTGGGAGGTGTACACACCCGGGTCGGTCTGTCATCTGAGCCTCTGGGGTCGAGGTCTGAGTCCCTGAGCAGCGAGTTATCCATATTCCTCACCATCCGTGCAATCAACTCCCCCATGTTCAGACCAGAAGGAGAGGTTCCATAGGTCATGTTCGTGCCATCCTGAGGCCCGACAGAGAAGGTAGGGGACAACCCAAGAGAGGGAGAGAGAGCAAACAAAGGAGGGTAGAAAGGGAAGGAGAAAGAAGGGAGGGGACAGACAGGAGAAAAGAAGAGAGATCAATAGAGCATGAATGGAGAAAAGATGGAGAAAGTGACACAAAAAGTTTATCCATGGTGTTGCTTGTTAACTGATCTTCCAAGCTTTCCTATCCACTGGGAGCGTTGGAGAGGAAGGAGCAGGCATTTGGCGTGGGTCCCTTTCTCCGCAATGGAGATTGTCAGGACTATTACACCTTAGCAACCCTCAGGGAAGGCGTGTCTCCTGACACTTGGAGCCCTGGCCACCACTGGCCATATCTTTAGCCTTGGCTCCTGTCAGTTCATACCACTTTGTCAATTCTAAGAAGGGGACTGCAGGCGGAGCTTCTCCTAGGTAGCAACAACACAAAGTCCATGTCCCAACATGTGGTCAAAGCCCAATGACTGAAAGGCTTTCTAAGGGAAAAGGTGGGCTGGGGTTCATAGCCAAGCTTATGGCCAGCTTAATGGGGGCATTCTGGGACTGAGGAGCACGGACAAGCGAGGCCTCCAACATAGGCCTTTGGACCTATTTCCCTCTAAATTCCAGAGTGTAATCAATTTCTTGAAAGTCCCCAAGAACTAGTCTCTCCTTTGAAGACTGAGAAATTCAAAGTCCAGAGCCAGTTACTGCTTCCTAGAACAAAACATTCACTCTGTTCCACAGAAGGAACATTCTCTATGCTGCCATTCACTGAGTTAAATGCTCCCCAGTCCATGGCTGCTTCCTGCCCTGCACCCCACGCCCCAGACTTACATCAATGGAGCAGCCCATGAGGGAGCCTCGCTCGATGGCTTTCTTCATGATCTTGTACATTTCTCTGGGGGCATCTCTGATCTCAAAAAACTCTGTCACCCCTCCTGTGAAGTCCTCCATGGCCTCTGTGGTATTCCCACCTTTCAGAGCTTCATAGGAACCATGGAGCCTTGGAGAGAGGATAAAGACCAATCTGGGGTCACAGAGTTCCAGGAAACATAACCCAGAACTTTACTCTTGGGTCCTGTAATATTGTCTCAATTCCCCATCAATTCTGTGAGCTAAAGGGATGAGTAGAATGATTCCCTTGCTTCATAATGAAGAAACTGAGCTCAAGAGGCTAAGTGATGCCCCCATCTCCCCACCAAAGCCACAGAGAGCCACAAGCCCTGGGACTGAAACCTAGCTATTCCTACTTCCTGAGAGTTCTCTTTCTATCATATCCTGAGCCTTGAGGTAGGGCTGCAGGAGAGCGATTAGCAGCTGTGTGATGCTTCAAGTTAAGAGACAATGTGGTTGAGCCACACAAGACCCTGGGGTCTGAGCTCCAGAGACACAATGCTCTGGTCCAACATACGCAATGCCACCACGAAGCCAAGATCAACGCTCTCACTATGGGAAGCTGAAGCTAAAGACCACTTTCCTACACAAAGTGCTCATTTCTACTCTCAAGCTTAGTATTTTTAGTTAGAGCTGTTGTTGCCCGGAACTTATCTTCTCTGAATTTGGAACACAGCTGAACACCTACACATACACCTGTGCGTGTGCACAGCCACTTATGCGTCTTCCTGTGAGTGAGCCCTTGGCAGGACTGTGCCACCCACTTCCTCACCTCTAGGCCTGCCTCATGTTCTAAAGTGTTGCCTTACTTAGCATAAGCCTTCTCCAGCAGGGCACTCCAGAACTCATTGCGGTGGTTGGATTTGGTGAAAACCAGTTGATTGTTGTATGTTGGCAAACAGTCATCAATAACCACGTCCACCCAGTCTCCGTAGCGCCAGAACTGCAGAAACACAGGCAGAGTCACAGCCTTATGTTACTATTAGGAAACGTGTCTTTCCTCTCTCATTCCTCTGGGGCTTCTCGGATCCCCCCAAAGTATCATTTCCTAAGCACTGCATCTTGGTGCTCATTCATCCTATTCTGGGTTTGGGGTGTGTGAGGTTTTTGAGAGCAGGAATTGGGTTCTGTACCACTTTGTCTCTTCCGCAGAGTCCAGCCCAGGGCTAGGTTAAGTAGATGCTCTGAGAACGTGGTAGGACTTGTGATTTTCATTCCCCTGCCCAGGAGGTCTGGGGGCAGGGCCCAGGTATCAATATTTCTAGGTGTTCCAGATGATTCTAATGTGTAGCCAGGATTGGGAACTCCTGGCCTAACTGAGGGTGCCGCACTGATTTATGTATTTCCTGAGGACACGGTGAAGAAGGATTGAACGTGACCCAGAATACACTATGGCTATAGAAAAAATCATTGTCCAGTTATTTCACTTCGGGATGTTATTCTTTTTTGAACAGGTCAGTTTGAACCAAAGAAGGCCATAAGTACTTAAATCTCTTTCCAACGGCACTTTCTCCCTCACTGAAAAGAGCACAGAAATCTATCTGGCCTTTGAATTTATAGGCCTTTAGATAAAAGACCCTTCAAATATCAGAGGGAAACTAGCAGTCTGATGGCACAGTGAAGAAACAGAATTTTGCGCCTGGCTGCCTTGCTCATGTTCCAAAGGCAGCAGGGTGCAGAGCCTAAGCCTGCAGAAAGTCCTTTTCTGAGGGATTCGATGCTGAAGTATCAGACCAGCAGGTACATCAGTGGATGACTGGAGCCTCCTGGGACGTTAGGGAGCCGTCATGCCTTCTGTCGACCAATTCCTCAGAATCTGAGCGCCTACTAGGTCCCTGTATATAGATTTCACTTTGATTCTGGTCCAGCACCAGGATTTAGCTCTACGCCAAAATGATCTGGACCTAGAAAGTTCCCAATGGCTGAAGTGATTTGAACCATGAAGCTCAGGTCTGAGCCTAAGCCAGAAGGTCAATTCTCAGATTAACCAGACTTTTCTTCCAGGGCCTAGAAGAAATAAGTGACAGATGTGGTATAGACCCGTCTTTAAAAAAAAGAAGTACCCAGGAGCTGCAGCAGGTAGCCTAGGGGTTCCTGTACAACCCAGAGGGCCCTCAGCTCCCAGTGCTGACAACTAGGGACCTACTTGAGAAGGGCTGCAGGCGATGACACAGCAGTCAGATAGCTGGAGAGGCAAAAATAGACCCACCGGCCAGCACACAGGATGTCTTCCTGCCCTTCTGGGACATAGCCCAGATGGCTGGGGAGGGGAGCAGGAGAAGGGCCAGGGAGGCCGAGGGATAAACAAGAGCTTCCTCACGGGCTAGAAGCCTTCAGATGCTCAATGCCCTGGCATGGCTGGGGGTGTGGATGGACCTTTTCTGCAGTCTCTGGGAGGTTGAGGCCCGGAGCCCAGCAGTGGGTGGGCCATAGCTGGTCCTCTCAGCTACACTCCCATTACCTCACCTGGAAGTGGAAGATCCCTGCATAGTTTTCCACGAAACTTTGATCATGGGGTATGACCCGGAAAAGGAGCCGCTTGTTCAGGGTCAGGCAGGCGATAGCTGCGAGAAACCAGCAGTCCCCTGCAGGCAAACAGAAAAAGACCCCGTCCCAGACAGATGCCGTGCCTCTCTGAAGAACAGGGATTCACTTCGTGCTCACTGTCCTACTTCCAGACCTGACCTCACAGGTGTCAACACAGGGAAGGAGACCGTAACAGAAATTCCTTGCCGATTTGATCAACAGGGTGACTTATTCTCTTGTGTCTGATGTTCTCCTAAAGGCTATAGGCATTGCTTCCATCTGATGCATAAACTCCCTCTTTTTGGACCTTAAGGGAGAGAGAGCAGTAGGTGATCATGACTGGGTTGTCCTTCTGACAGGTGTAGGAAATCCGCCTTGTCTTGTACCTTTGCAAGGTGAGAATATTTCCCCTTCTGACCTCAGTGAAGACTGCGCATCAGAGGTCCACCAACCAAGCAGATCTGTATTGTAAGGAAGCCAGATGGGCGACTGCCCTGGAATGTGTCTATAGGGGACACTAAGACACTGCTGTCAATGGGAATGAAACGGGAGCATTTTCTTATTTCCCGGAGCTCCTATGGGGACACTAAGACATTGCTGGCAATGGGCTAGGTGCCCATAGCACAGTGGTTATGGCGCCGGCCACATGCACCAAGGGTGGCAGGTTCGAACCAGGCCTGGGCCAGCTAAACAACAATGACAACTGCAACAAAAAAATAGCCAGGCATTGTGTCGGGTGCCTATAGTCCCAGCTACTTGGGAAGCTGAGGCAAGGGAATTGCTTAAGCCCAAGAGTTTGAGGTAGCTGTGAGCTGTGACACCACAGTACTCTGTTGAAGTCAACGTAGTGAGACTCAAAAAAAAAAAAAAAAAGACATTGCTGGTAATGAAATGAAACGGGAGCATTTTCTTATTTCCTGGAGCTCTTCATTGAGAGGACTGCGTGCAGTTGGAGGTAACACTTTGCTGAGTGTGCACATGCAAGTGTGCGTGGATCAGTGCCTACGGGGCATACCTGTACACAGACGGTCACAGAGAAGCTTCCAAGAAGGACTGGTTAAGTTAAACACAACACTGAGAGTATAAAGGGCAGGCTGAGCACTGTCTGCAGCCACCCTCTCCTGCCCCTCGTGGGAAGCCAATCTCTCCTTGGAAACACAGTATTGGTTGGAAGGCCCAGGTTATTAATCTGCCCAGGGCTGTGCAGGCAGCCTTCCCTCAGCTGGAGGAACCCAGATACCTGATTATGCCTTAGCCTTTCCTTTGGGAGCCAAATAAGCCAAGTTTCTTCCATTTGGTCTTGAGTGCCCTTTTCCCTCAAGTTTTTATTGTGTCTGTTGGCCTTCTCTTCAATTTTACTTCATGGAGCTTGTCCACAGTCCACACTAAAGATGGTACTTCCTGAACAAGGGGCCAAGTCAGAGGAAGATTGGATGGAATGGCCAAGCTACCCAACCACACAGAATATCAGGTGCTCATCCGCCTGACAAGTAACTGTCTTTGCTGAAGGACTCCTTTCATATGGAGCTGTGCTGGGCAACTTAAACAAAAGTTCAAGTCACAGGTGCACTTTTCAGTAATGCACTCTGTACACGTATATAGAGTCTACAGGCTCAAGCCATGGAGCTTCCTTCTAAGAAAGATAGGTACAGCTAAAAGCAGGGCTTTTGCTGTGCTAAGTGGGGCATGCAAGTGTCCTTGAGACCCCAGAGGGGAGGCGACCAAGTGTGGCACAGGCAAAGTGCCAGCGAGAAGTGAGAGAAAGCCAAGGGATCACCAGCACACAGACCAAGGAGCATGAAGTAACTGTTATAAAAAACCTTCCAACATTTCATTAAAGCAACAACAGACTTTTGTTCCTTAACCTCCTGGAAAGAGATCACGCCTTTCAATCATCCCTTGATTACCTGGCGGGATATAATCTGAGGAACTTTCCTCACCTAGATCTCCTTGACAGATGTCAGTTCTGTTGGCTCCACCAATGATAAATCGGGGATTCTCACAAATTTCCTGTGAAACAAAGAAAAGGACCAGGTTATGATAATAATAGTAACTATTATTTATTGAGTTCCATATGCAGTCTTGTCACCATGTATCAGGCTCTCAGTTAAGCTTGCCCATACAGCCCTGGGCACTGCATGCTATCATTCTTACTTTTCAGATAAAAAACCTGAGGCTTCTCAGACAGGCTGAGAAATGTGTCTAAGAACACACAGCTAGTAAGTGGCAGAAGCCAGAATCATGCTTCCTTTTCACGTTGTCCCATGCTGCTCCCCACGCTGTCCTACTATCTGAGTAGAGATGCCCCTAAGAGTTAGAGCAGGGTCCTTCCTGTCACAGCGTTGGCAAAGTGACTGCCCAAAGAATGGCTCTTGCTTGTTCTGGGCCAGGAGAAAAAATGCTAGAAGGAAAATAAGGATCTCTCTCCCCAAGATAGGGCAACATAGATATTTAGAATCGGTGTATGTCTCAGGGTCCGTGGCACTCGAATGCCGGGAAGCAGAGGGCAGAGCGGTGTGAGCCACACAGCCACCTCCTAAGTCAGAGGCGCACCTCCCACCCGGCCGCGGGCAGCTTTCCGGTCCAGGTACTGCCGATGACGTGCCGCCCAACCGTGGCCAGCAGAGGGCGCTCTTGCCTTTGTTTGGATGCACCTTCCACTTGGTCTAAAGAACTTAAGTTTTTAAGATAATCATAGATTCGGGTTTTGGTTTTAATACCATTCTTCACAGCTCCAAGAACCCTTGTTATCCTTGTGATACGGTGAGTGCATTTCTCTCCCCCTCTTCCCCTCTCATGGACCAGGTGAGAGGAAGCTCCTGCACACAGGGGTCTGGCCTTCCTAGGAGATGGAAAGGCTTAATCCCGCACCACAGCTGGCCCCCAGCACCACAGGCGGGCTTCCATCCGAAACTCCCAACACTACAGAAAGATAAACCAAAACCAAACTTTTTAAAAAAGGTTACCTAGCTGGGAAGCAAAAGAACAAGATGGCAGAAATAAGGATGGAAGAACAACTTTGAATTAACTGTTTGAAGACAGTTTTGACTCAGGAGTCATGCAAAATTTGACATAATTAAAAGCCAAAATTAAATAAAAAATAATTTATTTTATTTATTTATTAATTTTTGAGACAGAGGTCTCGCTTTGTCGCTCCTAGTAGAGAGCTGTGGCACCATAGCTCACAGCAACCTCCCACTCTTGGGCTCAGGTGATTCTTCTGCCTCAGCCTCCTGAGTAGCTGGGACTACAGGCACCTGCCATAACGCCCAGCTATTTTTAGAGACAAGGTCTTGAACCTGAGAGCTTAGGCAATCCACCTGCCTTGGGCTCCCAAGTGCTAGGATTACAGGCATGAACCACCGCCCGGCCAATAAAAAATAATTTAAGAAAGCAACCTGTAAAAGCTGAAAGAAATTGGCTCGGCGCCTATAGCTCAACCGGCTAGGGCGCCAGCCACGTACACCTAAGGTGGCGGGTTCGAATCCCCAGCCCAGACCCGCCAAACAACAATGACGGCTGCAACAACAAAAAAAATAGCC